GGGGCCCGACCGGATGGGGTGTGTGTTTGGCATTGGTTTTCTGGAATTGGAGGAGCATGAGGAATGCGGACGGCGGAATAGTGTGTATTGATGACAGGGCTGGCAAGATTTTTGACCCGGATTACGACTAACGGGTCGATCTTTGCAGCGAATCGACCGCCAAGCCCGCGTTTGCAGCCCAGGGGAGGCAGTCCATCAGTCTCCCAATCCGCCTCGCTGCCCTGCACAACCCTTGGTCGCCTTGGCGATGGCTGTGCAGTCTGTCGCCTTCTTATCATGGTGATTGGTATTTTTTCCATGTCCAGGATGACGCAATACACTTGTGAAATCCTTGGGCTGTCGAATTGGGTCTCCCAAAAAGAGATCAGCCATCACCCACGCACCCACGGCATCAATCAAGGTTTGGCGGCCTACACATTTGGGGTTCGGCCTAATGGATGCTTTGGCCGGCCGGTATGTTATCCTTTCCGACCCCTCCCACTCACCACATAGTTGCTGCCCCCCTCCATCTCGTTAGTGCTTGCCCACGGAGCCCAGCGGTCTTGCGGACGTGGTCACACGATGACAAAGCCGCACGGGAGCCCACCACAGACGACACTCGCGTCCACTTTCCTTATCTCTTGGCTACCTTGAAATCATGCTCCTGACCACGAAAAAGAAAAAAACAGGACTCCCTTGCTCCCCCTCCACGACATTGTGTGATTGTGTCTCTAGTCTGCTCCGATATTCGCTGGGGGGTCGGCGGGGAGGGACACAAACACAAAACACTGTTTGCCCAGGTGGACGATCAAGATAACACAGAGTCAGCAGCAACACGGGGGAAGTGATTCACCTCGTCATGCAGGCCTGGCCCCGCCGTCATACACACCATCCGGCGGGCGAGTGATCGACGACAGGGGGTTTTGGTTGGTCTCTTTTGCCCGTTGTGCATTCCATTTGCTGTTGCCCCACCGGCCGGTCGGCACTTGGAGGTGAGTTGCTTTCGTGGTGCGTGGGGTGGAGCAAGCCAGAAAAAAAAAGAGCCCCGACACACCAAACCCAACTAACAAACCCCCCTTCCCGACGAAGCCGGCCGCCTTCCTGCCATCCTCACTCGCTAGCTCCCCCGCTGCCGCCGCCGCTGTCGGGCGACCTCGGCATTTGCAGCAGATCAATACCACCTCATGACAGTGCCGCCGCCCTCCGGATACAAGCCGGGTGCTGCACCGCATGGAGAGGGGGTTGTGGCCCAGACCGTCTATGCATAGATGATCCCTTGGGCAAGATATGCTCACATGCTGATGTATCACATCGCCTGTCCTCGCTTTCCCTGGCGGGGCCGGAGAAGAGAAAAGACAGGCCGACGGAGATGGTCCCATTGATTCCACGGTGGAGACTTACGCCAGCTCCTCCTTGCCATCCAAGTTGATGTCATGCCATCCCTCCCTCTAATGTGTCCGGGGTGGCGCAAGTAGCCTGATGCGTTGGCCGGCAGGCAGATTAGCCAGTTACCTAGACTTGGGACGGCGGGCGATATGGCTGGGTACTGTAGGTCGGTAGGTAGGCCCAAGGCCAGACCGACTCTCCGCCCTCGCCTCACATCTCCGCCTCGCCGCCGGGCCCGTCCAAAGCTCAGTTCCTACATACCTACGCGGCGATGGAGACGCATCAACATGCGACAAGGCGGCGTCGGTCCATCGAGGCTGCGGGCGGGGGGGTTGTCCAGACCGGATCTTCTGGTCCTGCCGCCTCCATCACGGCTCTCGATCCGGTACGCGCTCGCTCCAAACAAGGCGGCGAGCGGTGTGGGCGGTGGGTACTGATTCCCTGGTCTTAGCAAACAGTCGACTCCAACTATTATCAAATGGGTTTTGGCGCGCCCATTTTTCCGGCTTGTTTTTCGCTTGGCGTGAATTCACTCAACTGGTTGGCTCGGGACCCACAAGGCGTCAATCATCATTCGAATCGGGCACTGTATGGATCGACATCGCTAAAGGAGAAGAGAAGGAAAAAAAAGAACAATCTTGTTTCCCTTTTTTTTTTCTTTTTTTTTTTTTGCTTTAACGATATGCAGTCAAAATCAACAGTCATACGAGTCCATCGTCTCTGACGACCAAGTAGCCCCGCACCGCCCCTTTGACCGCATGGCCGAATGCGAGTGTGAAATCATGTGCGTCAACGAGCTGTGCCGGCCTCGCCGACGAGCCAGGCCAACAGTAAGAAAACCCCCCAGTGTGCCGTCCCTCCGGAGCCGGCCGTCTGGAGGGAGAGTAAACGTCGGGCATTACCTCGGGGCACCTTGACCCGACCCTGCTGTCCCTGTCTTTCAATGCTCGTAGCACCGCTAATATCCGGATTGTTTATGGCGTCGTCATGCACTGTGACGGATTTATGCTATGTATACCTTGGACCCATCGCACACAAGTCTGCTCAGCGATCGAATCCAGGGTGTATTATTATTCTATTCCAACGTGTTAAGTTAAGCCATCCGAGTGTCATTATCGTAGTTACCAGGCCCCAATAACTGCATTTTTACCCTCCGACCTTTGTTCGTTTCCCACATTTGCATCATGATAAGCTGGCATCCTGCCTACACGCAATGAACCACGCCATCGCTGTGGGTGTGACATTCCTATATGTCATGTATCATCAGCCAGTATGTTCGTTTAGTAAGGACAAGGCCCCGTGGGGCTCTCTTCAGGATAAACTCCCCGACTTACCGCTCCAGCAGTGCTCGTCTTGGTCGGGCTGACGGCGGCAGTAGTCGTAGCCGGGGGCTGCGCCGGGGCCGGGGCCGAGGACGAAGCGCTCGAGGGCCGACCAGGGCAGCCCTCACCGGGCATGACGACGTCGTAGGCGTAGGCGTCCAGGGCGAAGTACTGCAGGCTGTGGGTATTGCGGACCGCCTTGGACGGGTCCGACTTTGCCAGGGCCAGGCACTCGGCGTGCGAGTCGGCGTAGTGCTCGACGGCGCCCTCGCCCACGGGCTCGAGGTGGAAGATGCGGTGCATCAAGTCCGCGGCCCAGTACAGGTTGAGCTTGCCCGCCGCCACCGTGTAGCCGAAGCTGCACAGCGCATCGAGGGGCTTGCGCGTCTCGTACGACAGCGGGCAGATGACCGTCTCGGAGCTGGCGTTTGCGCCGCGCCAGTGTCCGCCCCAGCCTGATGGACCGCAGCAGGTTCACCTGTGTCAGCATTGCGCCTCTCCTCTCCTGCCAGTTCCGCGGCATTCTGACTACATCTCGAGAGAAAAAAAACAAGAAAAGAGACAAAGCAAAACAACAAGCTTACCAGCCTGGTGGCAGTTGCCGTCGACGTCGTCGCACCGGAACCACATGCCGCCCTTGTCGCCCCTGGCCAGCCTCTCGAACCAGCCAATGGGCTCGCCCGTGGACGCGTTGCCAAAGTACCGCGCGTAGATGCCCGAGGACCGGCCGAAGCGAAGGATGTGGTCGCGCGCGTGCTGCGCCAGCTCCACCGTCTCGTCCAGCGCGCGCCGGAGCTGGGCGCGCTCCGTGCCGTTGCAGGACGCGTGGATGGGGTACTCGTCCACCGAGCCCTCGCGCCAGCTGTACAGCGCCGCGGGGGTGGGCTGCGAGGGCGCCGAGGGGACCGTCACGGTGACGACCCGCACGCCGTCGTTGGCCGCGCGCCGTTCAAGGCTCGGGGGCAGGGTGGCCGCCATGTCCGCGAGGGCTGCCAGTGAGGCGAAGAGGATGCATGTCGAAGCCTTCATGGTGAATTCGGGATATGGCGCTCCTCCTGGCTCTGAGACGTTTCTGACGCTGAAGTGACCTCGGGGGGCTTGAAGTGCGGGGGAAGCCTGAACAAGAAGGGAAACAACACCGGTCGAGGAGGGAATCCAGTCGGCAGCACAATTCTTATAGACCGCAGCCGGCCACCTCATTTCTTTTCGCATCCGTCGCCTGACTATCCCATCTCTCACCGAGCTCCCGGGGAGTCATCACGACGACAAGACATGGCGCCTCAACGAGCAACGCCAAGCGACTGTCTCCTCAGTTTCCCCACTCTCTCGATTCCGGAGGTGCTCTGTTAGAAGCAAGAGGAGCGCGCTAGACGTGGAGGTGATCAGAGCATCAGGTACTCATGTTGCACTCGCCAACGCCAACGCCGAGCCAAAGAAGCCGATTGCGCGCTTTTCTGGAATGGAATTTCCAAGGCATATATCGTTCGGGCGGTGCGCCGAAGGGTTTTCAAAGAAAAAAACCGGGGTTGCGAGGCCATCAAGGTTCTCGCCATTGGCCATCAAGGTGCGTCATGGCAGCGGTGAACGAATCATCGACCACCACAAGGGCCAAAGGGCATGCGAAATGGATTTCCCCCGCTCGACATGGTTTCTTGGCGAGTCTATCAAGGTGCGCGTTTCTGCAGACATGTCGGGATTGAAGCGAGCGAATGATAGCCCGGGGTCTCTGCCAAGTCTCGTCAGCTCTGCTTCTCTCTGCCTACCCCAACTGACAGGAACACTAAGTGAACACATCTGCACATCACGTCGACTCAAATCAGCCTCCAAGCCGCCCGGAGCCGGTGCCAATAATCCAATCAGCCAACATCCGACCGACGTCGCGCCAAAGACACGCTAAGAGTCTCTTTCCTCAGAAAGACACGACACGACCTCTCCTTCCCCTCTCTCTCTCTTTCACATACCACTCCATCACGTCATCCAGAACTTTAAGTCACCACATCTGCCCTAAACACCTTCCCTTTCGCTCCGCTGAGGAGCCTACACTTTGTCACTCCTTTTCCCGACTGAAGTTGGAGAGTGTTTTGAGCAGGCCAGGAAGGAGGCCTTGGGATTTTGTTGAGAATCCCAATTGAGGGACAAAAGCTGTTTCCACATTCCAGATTCCCCAGAGAACTTTCTCCCGGAGGACACATCACAACCATCATCCTGGTGAGAACTGTCCAGCTCCCAGTGAGATCCATCGCGGGCTGTGTAAAGCCTATTGCTTTCCGCCATTTTTGCCGTTTCGATTTTGTCCATCCAGATTCGGTTTCTTTTTTTTCGGGTTTTTCCCTCGTTAATCCGCTCGTCACTCTCCACACTCCTAATTTCTGGTCGCACCCAATCCTTGGGGTCTGCGTCCACGTTCCTCATCTCTGCCCGGCCTCGCGTCCGCCGGACCGAATCGGTCCCATTCCCTCTCTCTTTATCGACCATCTTTTTTGGTCTCCAATCATCTCAGCAAACTTCCCGCCAACTTGACTGTTGGAGGCAGCCTATGTCTGCAACTGTGGGCGGCACGGAGCGCAAAACGTTTACCTTCTCGGGGTACAGAAGTCCCCCGCCCTTGTCATCAGCGTCTTCCTCATTTGTCTCCTCGCCAGTCCCGCCGTCTCCGGGACATCTCTCTCCCTATCCTGAGAATTTGGGAGCCTGGCTGTCGGGCGAAATCCCTGGTCCTCCCTCCGAGCCTGGCTCGGAGATCACCTCCGATTTGAGCGGCGGCTTGGCTTCCTGCCTTCTCAGTGATACGCGCAGACGTTGTCGAGTGCCTTTTCCACCCTGTGCCGTATTGATGGGCGAACTCGGCCCCGGAATATTTGGAGCGACCCTCATGGTCTTTTTTTCCAAAAGGAACCAGCGCCGGAGTAATGGCTGTGTTGTGGACTGTGGGCGAGCTACGGGTACACCCGCGCGTGTCGCCCACCGCGGCGAGAGTTCCGGCCTGTGGCCGAGGCTGAGGGGCTATGACACTAGGGTTGGGAATGTCAAGCCGGCGATGGAGCAGTCCCCAGCCTGTCGCTTGAACAGCGTTTTTGAGACCGGGGAGAGGGAAGCTAAGCGGGCAAGGGCGTGGCCAGGGTCAGCGGCGGCCGCTTTGACGGGTCTGCCAGGATCGGCGCCGAGCCGCCACGGGCAGCACGCGGTCCAGGCGTCAGCCTCGCGCCGTAAGTGGTCATCCCGGCGCGAGACCTGGCGTCCAGCGCTGTTGATAGTGCCTGAAGGATATCTAGTCTTTCCGCATAGGTAGTACTTGTCCTTGGAAACAGCCATACAGTACGTGTGGTGTTGAGACTTCGGTGCATTGTTGAACAGATATGTCGGAGCGGCTTGTATATAATAATATTAGATATCATCTAATCGGAAGTATTTTTGTATACGGGAGTATTTGCCCACTCAACTGACCATTGTGTCTGACGGGCAGACGGTGATATCGTTTCCCCTCTTGCCATTACTACCTACATACCATTAAATCTGTTCGTTGGCAGGCTCGAGGCTGAAGTCGTGTTCGCCAAGCACAAGCAGCCCATACAGCCCTCCGCCACTCTCAGAGCAGAGCACTCACAAGGCGTGTGCCCGGATGGAAAACGGGTGGTATCTTGTACCAATCACAGGCTCTTTGCTAGGTGTTCAATATCTAACGCTGGATCAAGAGCCCGTCTGGAACGTTGAATCCCGTGCGGCTGGAGAATGGTTCTGGCCCTCGGTGGGTCGCACCAGATGCAGGAACACAAGTCTCGTCCGACAGGGGCGCACAGTCGGATGGGTCGTGGTCAGCCTGCGGAAAGACCATCCACGCCATCCCTGGTTCGTCTAGCCACAAACGTCCCGCCACAGGGACACTCCAAGCCAGCGCTTCGCATCGTGTCACCCTCCTGTCGCATTGACCTGTCGGATTCTTTCTAGTCCTCCTGGACGAAGAGCGACAGAGTTGCGTCTTTTTTTTTTTTTTTTTTTTT